GGTAGTAGTGGCGGTGATGAGGGTGCTGGCTTGGGGGCGAAGGGATCCGCTGTGCTTCTATGCTGCTCAGATGCAGCTCCTGCAGCCCACGTAGGCGGCGCCCATCCCCATGGGGCCCTGAAGCTCTTCTACTCTGCTGCTGCTGCTGTTGCTGCTGCTGCTGCTGCTGCTGACTCGCGTATAGAAAATGCGAATGCCACGCGCCCAGAGCCCCAGTAGCAGCCATATACTGTTCATACGCTTGTTGCTGCTGCTGCTGCTGCTGCTGCAGCGCGCTGTGGCTCCTGAACTCTGCATCTCTCTCGCTGCGCCGGTGGTTCCGCCCGCGGTCCCACCTAGGGTACCCGAAGGCTGCGAAGTCTGCTGCTGCTGCTGCTGCTGCTGCTGCTGCTGCTGCTGCTGCGTTCTCCCCAGAGGCCGGAACAGAGCCGCGCTGGCCCCACGCCGCCGCAGCTGCTGCAACATCTGCTGGGCTCCACTGCTCTGCCCCCCCCTGCTGCTGCAGCTGCTGCAGCTGCTGCAGCTGCTGCAGCTGCTCCTGATGCTCCCTCATATACCCCGGGACGCACGGCGTCAGGCCCACCCCGGGCACCCACACCATGAAGGGAGGCCCGCCCCACTGCTGCTGCTGCTGCTGCTGTTGCTGCTGCTGCTGCTGCCCGCCGCTCCCCCGGTGCCAGCGGCCCTGCTGCTGCTGCTGATGCTGCGGACTGCGCCTCTCCTCACCAGCTGCAGGGTACTGCATCGTCTGCTGCTCTGCTGCAGCAGCAGCTTGCTGCTGCAGCTGCAGCAACTGCTGCTGATACAGCATAAAGCCAGCAGGCTGCGACACCGGCAGCCAGCCAGCCCCTGAAGGCACCATACCGGGGACGTAGTTCATCGGGCTCTGCGGGTCTGCTGCTGCTGCTGCTGCTGCTGCTGCTGCTTGCTGATGCAGCTGCAGCAGCATACGGGGATGGAAGAGATGGGGGTACAGATGCGGAGCAGCGGCGGGGTGTGGCAGCTGCTGCTGCTGCGCGTAGGAGCCTGCATACCACTGTTGCTGCTGTTCATCTTGCTCCTGCTCCTGCTCCTGCTCCTGCTGCTGCTGCTGCTGCTGCTGCTGCTCTCGCTGCCCATACGCGCGGCGGCTCCCATTCTGTGGGGTCCCTGGAGTAGGCGGAGAGGGGGTTGTTCGCCTCTCTCGTTCGCCTGTGTCTTCACTTTGCCGCTGCTGCTGCTGCTGCTGCTGCCGCTGCTGCTGCTGCTCCTGCTCGCCTTCTCCGTCGCTGTTCTTGGTGCGCCCTTGCCGCTGCTGCTGCTGCTGTTGCTGCTGTTCATCTTGTTCCGGATGCTCCTTCTGCTGCCCCGCCTGCTGTTTATCGTGCTGCTGCTCCTCCTGCTGTTGTTCCTCCCGTTTCTGCTGCTCCTGTTGCTGCTGCTGTTGCTGCTGCTGCTTCTGCTCTTCCGTGTTTCCGGGAAGTGTCTCTGCGGAGTCTGTCTTCCCTGTGCACGCTTCAGGCTGCTGTTGCTGTTCATCTTGCTGCTGCTGCTGCTGCTGCTGCTGTTGCTGCTGCTGCTGTTGCTGCAGGTCCGGGCTTCTGTTTCTGCGGATGCTGGGGGATTTGGAGGACTCACTACGGGCGCCTGTTTCTGCCTTTTCAGTGTCTCCTTCAGCTTGCACCTGTCGTTCCTGCTGCTGCTGCTGCTGCTGTTGCTGCTGTTGCTGCTGCTGCTGCTGCTGCGAGTGCGCAGGGGAGTCTGGCAGCCCCTCCGAGTTGCTGTGTACAGCTGCGCGGTATCTGCTGCTGCTGGGGGTGAAGACAGCCGCCTCTCTCCTCATTTCTGTTCTGACTGCTGCAGGGGCTGATCGCGCTGTAAAGCCATCCGCGCCAGCAGCAGCAGCAGCAGCAGCAGCAGCAGCAGCAGAAGCAGCAGCAGGAGGTGCAGCTGCTAGAGATTCCGAGACCCGCTCAGGAGACAGATGCGGCCGCTGCTGCCCCGGGCCTCCCCTGTGGCCCTGCTGATGCCCAAAGGCATTCGCACCCCTGCGGCCACTGCGCTGCTGCTGCTGCTGCTGCTGCTGCCGCTGCTGCAGGTCTTGTTCGTGGGCTTGTGTGCGCAAGTACTCCTGCTGCTGCTGCTGCAGCAGCGGCAGGTCCCCGTGCATGTGTACGAAGGCAGGGTGTAGCATCCAATAGGGGAGAAACGGCGGAAACCCCAAAAGACCTGTTGCTGCTGCTGCTGCTGCTGCTGCTGCTGCTGCGTCTTCTGAGCCCCTCGGCAGCTGGCCTGTCATGCGAAGCTGCTGCTGCTGGTAGTAGTGCAGTTGCTGCAAATAAAAGTGGTGCTGCATCTGGCGGTGAGCAGCAGCAGCAGCAGCTGCTGCTGCTGCTGCATGCTGACTGTTCTCGTAGCCCCCCTCAGGGGTACCCGATGCTGCTGCTGCTGCACCCAGCGGCCTCTGCTGCTCGGAGTCCTGCTGCTGCTGCTGGTGCTGCTGCTGCCATTGGTGTCTGCGCAGCACTTCTTGCTGCTGCTGCTGCCAGTAGGGGTGCTGCCAGGGCTGCTGCTGCCACAGCTGCTGCTGCCACAGCTGCTGCTGCTGCCGCCACTGCCGCTGCTGCGCCGGGTTCTCAGCTGCTGCATGCGGCATATGAGGCCAGTAGTAGCCTGCGGGGTGTATGTACGCTGGATCCCTGTGGGCCTCTGGGGGGCCCCCTTCTGCTGTCTCGGGGCCCTCTTCGCTTCCCTCTTGCTGCTCCTCAAGCTGCTGCTGTTGCTGCTGCTGTTGCTGCTGCTGCTGCTGCTGCTGCTGCCGCTCCTGACCGGGTTTGTCTCTGAGGCGCTGCAGCACCGCCTTGGGCGCTCCGTCGCCGGGAACTTCATCGTCATCCTCCTCCTCCTCCTGCTGCTGCTGCTGCTGCCGCCTGCTGCCTCTGTGCAGCAGCTCTCCAGTGGAGGCCCTACGAACTCGCGTTGCTGCTGCTGTTGCTGTTGCTTTTGCTGCTGTTGCTGCTGCTGCTGCTGCTGCAGA